AGTATACTCAAATTGTCAACTTAATATTATATGATCCTAATTTCCTGCTTCTTTTTAATCTAAGCTAGATGGAACGCCTGGAAAAAAGATTGTTTTCTTAATAACAAATACATATTATATCATGATAAGTAATTACCTTTCCAGCAACGCTTTATTGAGTAATACATCATTGCATTACATATAAACGATATGACTATCAAATATTAAAATTTAAAACTATAATAATTGGAAGGTAAATGTATTTACACAGAAATTGTTGCTTAAAAATAATTGGATCGAACATTTTATAAACGACAGGTTTCGCCATCATTTTTACGGTAACGCATCAAAAAACACTTTTATTTTTAGTCATAAGACATAAAATCATAATATTTAAGATACTAGAGGACCCAATGTGCTCCAACAAGTACTTTCGGTCGTTTAGTTGGTAAGTAGCGCAAGTCAACGAGCACCGACTTTTTAACTCCTCCAAGACTTTTTCACTGCTGACGTTACATAACGTTTTATACAGCGCTACTCAGTGCGTGAAGAAATGCTCAAATTCGGAGAAATCGTGGCTTGACACACGCCTTTTCACTAGGACCGTTAATACACGGACAAACCTATTTGAACTCTCGTGACTGCTACTGTGTACAAAGTAGCAGTAAATTTTTTACCGTACCTTTTTGGGTAATTTTAAATTTTTTTAGGTTTTTTGTTTAATCATAGAAAATCTCTTATCGATGCGAAGATACCGCTAAATACTGAAATTTAAATTAATTTTTGTAACTTTTATTTTACGATAAAAATTGATCGATGAAAGCTACATATGTTGTCTTTCGGAAATTTTAAACCATTATGCCAACAGCTCATTTCTTGCACAAATGTAATCGCTGGTTTTATTTATCGTAATACAACTTTCAGACTATTAAGCTCAATAAAAAAATTGTATTCGTATTTAGTGTTATTCTAGCTAAAGATATTTTATGGGTTTTAAAAAAGATTAGTAAAATACTAGGAGATAAATTTTTTTAGAATACATAGTTTTGTTATACGCCACTAAAAATATGACAAATCCTTGCAAAAACTTACTACACATCCTATTTGATAGAAAAAAAAAAAACTGTTTGTACCTATAGCTGGTCTAAAAATTCCAACAGGTAGTTCCCGTCCATACTGGAGGACTACGTGTTCTGCGATATTTTTAGTGAAGGTGTAGGTGTTTGGAAAGTCACCGAGCAGAGTTGGTGTTATTGTGTCGAGTTTGATGTCATCCAGGCTATGAACCAGTTTTATGATATTGTCCCCTAGAGAATCATTTATGTCATTCAAAATTTTCCATAATAAAGAACATTTGTATTTTGGTGAAATAATGTCGTTCATTATATTACATTTACCTGTCATTGGTGGATCATAGAACTTCTCCTCAATGACCGTTCTGTTGCAGTTACTGTAAGCTGTAGATACGTGAACAACTGCCTAAAAATACATTTTTCAATCATAAATAATTACACCAGGATTAACGCTACCTATAAAAAAGTGATGCCCTGTTGTGAAAATTACTACCACTAAAGTAAAATTTAAACTAACTTTTTAAAACCTATTTTAATAAAATTGGAAATCATATATATACAATTAAACGGTTCTAATGAACTTACTTTTAGATTTTTTAGTTGTCTTGACAAGTTCAATATTTCCTTCGGTCCTTGAATATTAATAGCAACAGCTTGCTTGAGGCTTTCGTCGAACCTAACAGTTGCAGCTACATTGAATATTATGGATACCTCTCTCACAATAAGCTCACGATCAATTTCTGAAATTCCCAAGCCTGGAAGCGAACAGTCTCCTTCTATCACTGTTATCTTGTGCCTAAATTTCGGCATTTCTTTCTTTACTAGATCGTATATCTGCAACAGCAAGTAATAACAATAAGTGATCACTGATTTGATTGCTGCACTATTAATCGGATTAAATAAGGTCTTTACATTGCACAAAAATTATTGTAAACAACCCAATACATCAGTTGACAATAAAATTTTTATATTTTTAGGAGCAAACTTATATATACCGGTTCATCGAGGATCGCATCAAATCTCTGACGAGCATCTTGGCCTTTTTTTGCTCTAACAACAAGATACATCGCTGATAGATCCGGGCAACTCCTTAATAGTTTCTCTACTAATATTTTTCCCAAAAACCCAGTTCCACCTATAAGGATATCAATTTTATGAGTAATTCTAACATAAATGACTGTTGAATAAAAATGATGTAAACAAAATTTACCCGTGATCAGAATACTCTGGCCAGTGTAAAACTGTTGTACTGGTGTCTTCAAGCATGGCACCTGGTTTGCCTCTATTTTTGTCATGGTGCTCTGAAATCAAGTAAAATTACCGTTATTCACACTATCACGCATTTCGATTTCATTTAGGGATTTAAAAAGTCTGCTCATGTGCTCTTGTTGTACGACAATCATATATAATTTTTAGCAGCTTTTCAACGTCACTAGATTCAATCTCAATCATTTATAGTTTAGGTTTTTACACAAGTATACTTTTTTCAACTGCTGTTAAAGTTTAAGATTCTGAGTTTATAGTATTACAACCATAAGATATTTTATCTTTTATGTGACAAGTGTTAAATATTAT